TCACAACTCTTACGTAAGTGTCAAAGGTTTTCATTGCAGAAGAAGTGCACTTAGTTCCTTCACTTACATTGCATAAAAAGAGTCAAAGGCATGACAAAGCAGAGACACACGCAATTCATCTTTTGAAAGTGATTATTTTTTCATAAAGCAATGTGGTTTCATGAGACACCCGCTCCTCCCCCCGCGCAGGCAGGCAGGGGCGCTGCGCTCTCCTGCTCCTGGGAAACATCCAAAGACCTGAAACACAGTTAAAACAGCAGAAACCTTTCACACCAGCACAACATGGAAGCAGACGGCACATAAAAAGCAATTTGGTAACAAGCAGTAGTAACCAGTATTATGACTTGGTTAAGACACATTCACCTGTTCTCGCAGGTTAGCGTAGGCTAACATCATCCTCCATGGTGGCAGCCTGCCTTGGGGAATACTGGAAACCCTCCATCCAACCAGATGAACAGTCATTACAAATTCTTAAGCCTTTAGCATATTTAGTACTAGATATATGCTAAAACACTTAAAAAATACAGTGAGACAATAGATTTAATGGCAGTTTGCAAATTAATTTGCCACCCTGTGGTCCTAACCTATACTGACCACCACCACCATTGCACAGCTGTGCTGGGATCTTCTGCTAGAATGGCTGTAATGTTTCATTAACACCATTTCTGCTCACTAACAGGTTGTGTGGGGTTTCTTCCCCCTCTTCAAAGTGGAAACTCCCATCTGTGTCAAGAAGCCGTTATCCCTCATCGTATTTCATTATGCAACTCACAATACCAGCCTGGGCAGACAGCAGCATTGGGCACCGTCAGCTTTACTGTAGCATGGCCAGAAGCGTCCCGTGGTAGCATGGCCTTTGCCAAGCGCGCAAGCCATGCTTCCTTAGAAATGTGACATGGAATCAGAAATTTAGCATTGTGAGGTTAATATCTTTTGTTCTGGAAACAAAAATCAGATTATGTCTGCTGAATGTAGTGTGGAATTTTATTTGGGGAACTTTGGAAAGAAGGGCAAAGGGAATGGAGTAGGAAAGTCCGGTATAGTTTACGTTGTAAAAACAGAAGAGTGACTCTTTGCTTTTCTTGTCTTCTGAGAGCCCTCTTCATTCTTATATCAGTAGAAAGTACCCTGCTAAAATAACTGCACACTGTGGGAAAGCGTTAAGCTAATTGTAATCTCATTATGAAAAGTGTGCTATACCCCATCCCGAGAAGACAGATGCAGCAGAGTACTATACTATTGCAAAGGCCAAATATCTGTATTTTAATAAGTTAAAAGAAACCCAAATATAGAAACCATAGAGTCACTGAAATGTTAACAAGTTAATATATTTTAAAGCAAATACAACAGTGTACACATAAAAACCATTTAATACAAAGTGAAAACCATTAGATGCACCTACTAATGCAGATTTTTGGTTATTTTCAGCTCTTTAACTGAAACTTGGAAACAATGCTCTTCATTTCAGTTACACCAGGTTCAGTGGTGAAACTGATCTATAGCAAGCAAATCACTGCCTTTTCATTCACCTGGGAAAGACAGCACCACTGCAACTGATAAATCTCTCCAGAAGGGCATCCAAATGAAACAGGCTGTGCACATTTGCCCCATTCACTAAGCTATATAAGAAACTAGATGTGGATTAATTGCTGCTTCTGAATAGTAAAGCTCAGTAAGTGCATCCTTGCTGTACAAAAAAAAAAAATTAAAGTGACAACATAGAAAACTGGCAACAGATAACCATGTCTGCCTAAAATATATACATATGATACATAATTATGGGACATCTTGGCCAGTATGTTAAGTCTGTTCAGGAGCAAAGCTTTAATTGCACAGACTAGAAAACTGAACAAATGCTTTTAACAAAGCCAAGCACAAGCTTTGGTTTATGCTTAGACAGTGAACATTAAACTTGACATTTTTATTATAACACCTATTACGAAAAACAGCTCCTTTGACTGCTACATGCAATAGTTGTTTCTCTATGAATAAACACTCCATTCCATACAATGAAATGAAGCTCTGTGTCTTAGTCAATGAACCCATTAGCTGTATCTAGACCGGGAACACATTAAATCTTTATGAAAAGCTACTGAATTACAACAAGCCCTCCCCCCATTTTTAAAATGCTGCATATATAAAAATAACTCCAATATGGCACAAAAGTGGGATTCTCAAGGGAAGGCAAAGGATAAAGGACAAAGGGAAGCCTCCACTGGCAACATCAGCAAATTGCATACAGTCCAAGACAAATTTGCACCCTATACAAAATGAGCTTCCCTGTGTTCCAGTTCTTGAATCCTTTTTGGTCTCAGTCTCTGATAAGTAGGCTTCAGATCTGTGGGGTGAATATCCTCTGAGCTAATTTTTTGTTCATTTGTGTTTTGTTCAGGATCACCTGATGGAAGTGCAGAGCTCCTAGCCAGTTTCACAGTATTATCCTGGTGAAGCACAGAGCTAGCACTGGTTGGTGCACAAGCTTTAGCAAAAGAACCCTCTTCATTTTGTTTTGATTTGTTAGAAGGTGGTTTATAAAATGTCCCTGGGGGTGGCTGCAATGTTCTTGGTGCCCTGAAAGCAGTAAGAGGATTGGCATCGGGACCATTCCCTTCTGTTGCTGTCCTTCCTGACCTGACAGAAACAGAATATGGCTTACTAGGAAGAATGGCATTAGCTGAATTGTTACCAGTGCTGCACGATGAAGGTAAGGCACCCGCAGTTCCACTCTCAAGTGCTTGGTTCTCCTGGGGCACATTAGTCACGATCATTGCTGTCCTTGCTGTGATATCATACTGTTTATATTGCTTGTCCCAAGTTTTTCTCAGCATCTGGGTGTCGTAACAAGGAAGTCTGCAGCAGGTATTAACATCAGAAAGTGCCTTCACCTCTGAAACTTCTTCAATAGTAGGGCTCCTGCCAAGCTTCTCTGGTCCTACTGCTCCTGCATTTCGTGAATTTCTTTCATTCAAAACACATGGAGAAAGTATTCGGTCTACAGGTAGGCTCACAGGGCGAGTTGCTGGTTTTGTCCTTGGAGCCCGCAACGGAACTTTGGTAATCTGACGGTTAGGTTTTGCAGGAAGTAAGCTAATTTTACAGCTGTCTTCACCTGGAGAAACAAATGAATCATTGTCTCTCTCTGAAGCTGGACTTGCAGCATCACCTAGAAACACACAAATAGATGTTACTGGATCTTTGCACCAAATATAAGGAGAAGTCAGCAAGACTTTTACCAAAAGGATATACACTTTATTAATGATCCCTTGACAGTTGGTATTTTAATGGGATAAAAGTTTTTACTATACCTTGTATACAAACTAGGAGTATCCTACTCTAACCAAATGTTAGCATTTCAACAGCAGTATAACACATCCTGTACATGTGTAACCAAGGAAGACACTAAGAAGGAAACAAAGAGACACTGCCCTTTTTTTTGGCTGGTGCTTTCCCATCCCTGAATATTTTCAGTTTTAATATGTTTCAGAATGTTGCACTGTTAACGCACAGGACGTGACTGGGCTGGTAACACCAGCTGAAAATCAGTATAATTAAAAGGGATAATTTATAGTTATTCCTGAATAAAGATGATGAAATCATACCTACATTTAAAAAAACCACTGTAGGAGCACAGGCAAACAAACAGAAAAAAATTATAGAAGATTCATAGCTAGCTTAGCAAACCTGGCTCTTTTGGAGCAGAAATATTAATATCCAAAATGCTGGTAGCTGATGATTCTGTCACAGAATTACTCTTTCCAGAGACTTCCAGTTTAGTTCCAGTGAATGGCAATGATACATGTTCTGGGGGAAGACAATGGTCACAACATGTTAATTGCTGGATGTTTGCAACATCATAGTGGATTTCAGAAATCCACAGTCACAGTATTATCATATTTTTTTTTTAAAAGAAGAAACCAAAACACTGTTGTATTCTCTTACCAAATACTTTAAGCTCCAAGAAAGATTGAATTCTCTGTTGTCTTACAAAGATAAACAGTGTATCAAGCAGTGATAAGCAGGTTTTATCACTTGCTCTGTCTAAATTGGAAAGCTGCACGCACTATAATGCATCCACGACTGCTTATTCACCCACCCCAACACTTCATAAAAGCACACTAACCAGTTACAGATGTGTCTACTTGATCTTTTGTATTCTTGCTATTGTTCAATTCCAAGAACAATGCAGCTTTTTCTGAAGCTTCGCTTTCACTTGGAGCTATCAGAATACTCTGTTAACAAAAGTCAGAGCAAAAGTAAATGAGAACTCAAGAGGAAAGGCACTCCTTAACAAAAAAACCCAAACCACAAAGATTTAATAGAAATGTGCTCTGGAATGCTGCAGCATTTGACACAGAAGTTAAGGTGGCACAAGTAACATTGTAGCAGCACAAGAAAGGTCACTCACATCCTTTACAGCAACAAGTGACTTCCTCTGCTGCTGTGGCTCCCTCTCTTCTGCTGATAAAGAAACACTGACTGTAATGGCAGTTTCTTCAGACTGAGATGTGCTCAGAAGTGGTTTCAATGAAACATCAAATATCTTTTCATAGTATGTTATGAGCAGCTCCACCATCCGGGCCTGATAAGGGTAATCCACAAGCGATGACAAAGAAACTGTAGCATCTGTTTGACGTGGCCTGATTAGAGTTGGGCCAAATATTATGCCGAGGTTGCTGGCTGACATTTTATTTTCATCAGATTGTTCTGTAACTCTGCATAAAGTGTAAAAAAAAAAAACCCAAAACCCCAAGAATTAGAGGGTTTTACTACATCAGAAACATTTTAGATATTAATATATTAATGTCTAAAGAGGCTACAAGACAATAAAACACTGAAGGTGGTTTTAGTAGGCAGGCAGAATCTTCAGTGCATACTGCATTTAACAGCAGCTTGGACCAAGCCCTTTCCACATAGGGTGTTTTTATGTCCTATTTGGGTAATGTTGTTTGTGGCTATTTGGTATTTCTGGGGTTGGGAAAAAGACAGTCTCTTTTGTTCCAAGTACTAATACAGCTGTGGCCCCATATTACCCATTTTCATGGTAGTCATCAGCTTGGTACATCCTTATCACACATCATTGTAACAATCCAGGATTTGGAAGACAAGGAAGTGAAATGTAACTGGAGAATGGTTATTAACAACCATGATACAAGTTTCAGTTTTCTGTTAATAGCCACCAAATCACTCCTCTGTCTGGGTCATATCCTGATATGAATCACACCTAGGTCCCTACAGCTGCCACTAGTTGCTACTGGCTGACCCCAGTGCTAGCAGTGAATGAAGAATAACGGAGCTCAGCTCTTTTCCTCCTTTTTTCCCATTTCCTATTCTTCTCTCATGTAAGATTTCATTATATTGGAAAAAGAGACAGTAACAGAATAATGTCTTCTACGGCATACAGGACTTCTTCCTCCACAGTCATCAAAAGCGTACAAGTTTTCTAATACACAGCATGTATCAGTTTATTTTTCAACATCAGTTTGCATTTGAAGTCTTTTCTCACCTGTGAAGGTGTCCAATAAGGTACTGAAGAGTGTTATAGTTTGGTACAGGCAGTTGTTTCAGAAGATCTTTGATTTTAATGATAATCCTGTTCAGTTCAATACAAATGGACTGTCTTTTCTTTGATTTGGGGCTAGCTTGTTTAGCATCCAATTCCTCATTAACATTCTGGCTTTCTTTTGCAAGTCCAATGAACTCATTGTAAAGCCGAAACAAAATCAACGGTTCCGGAAGCTGAAGAAAAAAGAACATTTCAG